TTACTTGGCCATGGAACGTTTAGTACTAGACTGCATATGGAACAATATATATCTAATTCTAAATCTAAATTTTTTTTTTTTACATTTTTTTATTTACATTAATCTGCAGGTCATAAAATAATAATATATATATACATTATATCTGTAAAAATTATACTATGTATCATGCACTTTTTTGCACTTTATTTTGCCAAAGACATCCCTCTCACCCAGTCCCATCACTGGTTCAATGATGGAGGAAGACCCATAAATTCTCATAATGTTACTCAAAAATCATAAATTCATGATTAAAAAAATAGTAATGCATCTTTAGTATCCTTAAATAACAGCTTTAATCTCACAGTTTCAATGACCCTCAATGTGGCCTTTTCACTTCATCATACTGAACCCTCCATGGATACAAACTTATTTAAGTGGTGAGATTAAAGTCTCTCTCATTAGAATTTTACTTTAAAAAAAGAAGTACACAACAACCCCAACAGTGTGTACCAGGCAGATTAATTAAGACAGAACATTGATGATGTTTAATTCACCTGTGTGGCAGCAGCTGTGCACTATGTGCACTGTGATGTGTTCATTGTGAGCAGCGCCACGTCCTGCACGACTCCTAACGCTCTGATCTAATAGGCTGCTACCATTGTCTTTGCATGTGAACACTGTTTTTTTTTTTTTAATGCTGATAATGAAGCTTTAAGTGTATCTCCTCGTTAATCAGTACCAGCATCAAGTCTGGATCACTTGTCACAGAGCTTACAGAGATGTAAGGCTCTGTAAGGTTTTTTTAGAAGAAATCTGTTTGGTTGGGATGAATTTAACTACTTCTGAAAGAAACTTCCTCTCATGTTTCTCCCTAAATCTTGCCAGAGTAAAAGGATGCCATGTTTGAGGATAAACCATGCTGCTGGAAGATGGGGACAACTGATTGTGTAAAAGTTAATGTCAGGAATATGCTGCAACTCATAAGAGCGCTGTTTTCTTTTTTTGGCTCCAGTAGATTTAAGCCAACATTTGTATTGTTGCAGACGCCGCAGTCCCGAAGCCTCAAGCATAAACTGTCCTCTACGGATTTGATGTGTGCCAGATGAAGACTGTCAATAATTGCATGTGGATAGATGTTGACATTACATCTATGTTTCATGCTCAGATGCCTCAGGGCTATTTACAGGGACTAAACGCTGCAGATTTATACTCATGAGGAATCGCAGATTAGATAGGACTAAATTTACGGCCACTTATCGCAGTGTCCACACCAATTAATGCCGGGGTTTGATCAGATTTTTGCAGAAAATCATCTCCACGGGAAGACAACGTGTTTCTGTTTTCATGTTGGCATCATGTGTCAATCTCAGTGCCAGTTAAACAGTTTACATCTGACTCCTGCTGCTGCGGCTTTGTTATGTTGAGTCAGATTGCAGACGGATGTTATCACAAATTTCACCGCAGCCCAGAATAAACACATTCGAACTCTCTCTAAACTTTACATTTAAAATCAGGCTGCAGGCAGAGTGTCCTCAAGGCCAACAGCCGGTACACCTGGACCGGGGTTTTTGGGGAGGTCCAGAGAGTGATTTTTAAGACGGGATTATTTCCGAGGCTCATAAAATGCTCATGTGAAGCCATTGAGATAATCGCTGACCATTTTCTGTGACATTCCAACTTGCTCTGGGGTTTTCTATCTATTTTTGTGAGTTTTTTTTTACACTCCTCTAGTTAGCCAGTGGTTCCCATTTAATTCGCAATATCAAAAACAGCTTCAACAGCTTGAAACATTTTGGGGATTTTTTTTTCTCTTTTGTGCCCTGAGTTAGATTGCAGTTAATAATACTCTTTGTAAAAGTATAGCCAGAGCCAGCATCTTCTTCGAGTCCTTCCTCCCACGCAAGATTTTTGACTTGGTACAGAAAACAACTAAATTTGACATTTTATTGGGAATCTTTGGTTTCCTTCGGTCAGAGCCAGGCTCAGTTTTCCTAGAGATTTCCTTCTCTATCCTAAGCGGCTTCTGTGTGGACATTCATATTTTATGGCACAATATTTTTAATTGCAAAAAGGAAGTAACCATTTTCCAAAATGCCAAAATATTACAATAAAAAGCAAATTGATGAAAAGCGGTGAAAGATCTTCAAAGAACTCAGTATGAATTTAATGTGAACATATAATGTGGTAAAAATCCATCTGCTGCTGATTAGAGGAAATCAAAAGCTGCGAAGCAGCAACTGAATGGACTTTGTACTCAAACGGATTCCAAATGACCAAACGGGACATGACAGCTTTAATTGTCAGACAATTGAAAAATAACTTAATGTATTCCATTTTTCTCACAGACAGAAATATAAACCATATTGGTATAAAATATAAATATATCACTACTTATATTTGTCAGACCTGGACTTGATGACCGGCTGTCCAGGAAGACAAATGTGGCAGTTAAAATATGTGCTGATAGTTTTTTGCCAATTACGAATTAATAGGCAATCGTTAACGATTTTGTTGTTTATTTCATATTTAATTTCACTTTATTTCATTTTTTTTGGAAACTTGTGTCTTGGTGCATTTTGGACAATTTTCTTAAAAAAAAAGAAACATTTTCAATAATTTACCTCTTTTTAGCTGCTATTTGTTAGCATGAGTGTTAACAAATAGCAAGTACTGACTTATGCTTTGACTGACTGGTAATTTCTACGACATTTTGGTTAACTTTTGCCTTCTTGAGAATTCTGGATCATTATCCTAATTATGCTTCATTCGTTTTGTTTGACATTTTACTAACTCTCGGTTCTCTTTTCTGACCTTTAGCCCTTTAGCTATTATTCTTCCAAAGTTGCTTTGTATTTTAGGATTTTTATTCAGTGGGGAAGAGGAGTATATTTTATTTGTTAATCTGCTATGTAGTTTTGCACCAGAAGGTTGCAGGTTTGAATCCAACTCTTTTCTCATCTTAACCCAACACGATGAATGAGAAAATAAGGGTTTTCCAACTCATCAGGAGTTTTTGTTTGTTTGTTTACAAGCTCAGTAAAATGGACCTGTAACTGTCCCAACAAGTTGCTGAGTGTTGAAACAATTTGTTATCTGTTATTTATTTGGATGTTTAAAGAAGACTAGTAGGACTCTGTCCAACGTTGAGTGGCTTAAATGCAATTACCTTACTGAGTAAACAAAAGCATTTGTAATGCACTAAATAAATTTGTTTAAATGCAGTGCATTTGTATGAAACCTAATTATAGTCTTTAGTGGCACAGGAGAAGCACTGGAGAAGTTTTACATTTTCTAACTTGGTTTCCCTTAAAAAAAAAAACAGGCTTTCCAAATAAATCCATCTGTACCTGTCCTCGAAGTGGATGCTTTACAGGGAGCTGTTGTTTATCTAAACAAAAAGGCCTGTGGAAAACCGTAATTGCAGGCGATAAGTCATAGAGCAGCATTAGCGCAGCATTAAACCAAAACACATGGTGCAGTGTTGCAGGGGAAATCGTTTAGAGGTATTCCTGAATACTTTGACAAATACACTGCACATCTGTGCATGTATTTGCAGTTGTTGTCCCTGGTTTTAATTTCCCTCCTTGTTCCTGTTCTTCGAGGTTCGACCCTTGCCAGCTACCACAGAAGAAAAAGTAAAGAGTGTTTTCCACCAATTGACAGTACTTTGAGGTTAAAGAAGTCAACAGAGCCAACAAAACCTTTCCATGACACAATGTAGTAATTCCACGAATTAAAGCCCTGAAAGAAATAGTTTGGCAAGGAGGATTTTCTTTGCTCAGCAAAACAAAACATTCAAAGCAAACACTGGCCAGTGCTATTGTCTATCTGCAGAAAACGAGCTTGGGTCGTATTTACGGGAAAATTGATTCTCTCGACGGTGCTGGTGGTCATTACCGTGAGTTTACAGTGCAATCACGCTTCAGGTTATCTGACTTCAACAAACAAATCCAGGAAAAGCCCATTCACGAGAGGACTAATCTTTCAAATCTATTTACAGCACATTCTGCATGTCCTGGAACCACACACACAATAGCACACATAGGAATATGCAACAGGAGGCTTCAATCATACGACGGACGGCTTCGGCCAGCACACAGAATATACACAGATGAAGAGTTTGTGTATAACTGCTCTGACATGCTAACGACCAGCGTCTATAAATGGCACCGCTGAGACGTACGACTCTTTCAAGGCTGCGTGATGCACATACTAAAAGGTGTTCTGCATGTTCTGTGAAAACAAGTGTGTTTGGAGAACGTGGGGTCAGTCTGGTCCAGATGATGTCAGCTCTCTGAGCTCAAGGTCTTCAAAGTTCAACACGTCCATGTGAAAGTAGTTGCAAACAAACAGACGGAGGAAGTACTCACTGCCTTTAAAGTTTTTTTTTTATTTTGTTTTGGGGTTTTTTTTAACTCCTGAACAGGATTCTGAGCTCAACTGTTTTGTGCATTTCTACCATCCTGACGTGACCACTTTCATGTAGTGATTTTTCAGACGTCTAACTCAGGGTTATTACGACCAAATAACAGGAAAGATGGGCTCTATACACAAACATGCCCCGCCCCCTGCTGACATCATCAGTACACGTGAACCTAAACATCACCTACCTGGGTCTAGTGGAAAGCATGATGCAGCTTGTTTGTGCAAATATGTTGCAAAGTCTCTTATGGAAGATATTGAAAAAAAAAAAGGTCAGACAAGACATGAGTTGTTTTCAAAACATAAGGTGTAGTTTGTGAGTTTGTCATAAGTAAAGTACAAAATATGCAAAAATTTTAAATTTTTTGAATTTTTTTATTTTACATTGGTAAAGATAAATTATTAAATCATTTTGAATGTTTTTTATTATCTTTTGGGTCAAGTACTAACTTAATATAACTTTTTTTGCTCATTTCTAAGTCCTGCGCTAACATGAATTTTAACCTTTTGCTGCTAACAGTTTTAGCATCATAATCAATTGGTGTGTTTTGTAAGAGACTCCTTGATGGAGTGGGTTTTTCTTCCAAACTTTGTATGTTGTGCATTGATTATTAGTGTTGCTTCAAGTTAACGTCTAGTTTTTGTTATCTATGATGCTAAGTCGACACTTTTTATCACCATTTTCAGCCAGCCACTGAGTGACTATAGACTGACCCTGTGTGATAGTGTTACACAACACAAGGCCCTTCCTACAACAGACAGAACAGCTGATGAGGTGCTGGTGTGGAGTGGAGTGAAGGGGAGGGACCGAGTCCTGCAGGAAGCTTGAAGACTGACTCCCAATTCAATGAAGTCACTGGTGTCTGTTAATCTCCCAGTCTTGGTCAGTGGATTCTACCCACAACTGAGCTGCTGCTGCAGGATGAGAACGCGGAGTAAGGACTGACACGTTTTTGAAAAGTTGTTTTTTTTTAACCTGTTTTATTCACTTGTTTTGACAATGATGCTACTGTGTTTTTCCAGTGCAGATCAGTTTTATCCCTGGGACTGGGAATTTTTGCGTTAGGAAAAAAAACGTTCACTCGTCTTTGACTGCGTTGAAAGAATATGACAATGACTAATGAGTCGATGGCAGGGAGAACCATGGTCCCGACCATTCCATCCATCATGTTCATTTTCGGGGTGGTCGGGAACGTTATCGCCATCGTGGTTCTTTGTAAATCCCGTAAAGAACAGAAAGAAACAACTTTTTACACGCTGGTTTGTGGACTGGCATTCACGGACCTGCTGGGCACCATGTTGGCCAGTCCGGTCACCATCGCCATTTACGTCAAGGGTTCGTGGCCCGGAGACGACCCTCTGTGCCAGTACTTTGGATTCACCATGCTGTTCTTCTCGCTGGCGGGGCTCAGCATCATTTGTGCCATGTCGGTGGAAAGATACATCGCTATAAACCATGCCTACTTCTATAATGACTATGTGGACCAGAAACTGGCAGGTTTGACGCTCCTGGCGATCTACATCTCCAACGCTCTCTTCTGCGTCCTGCCGATCCTGGGTTTCGGACAGGTGACCAAACAGTACCCGCAGACCTGGTGCTTCTTGGAGTGGAGGAGCAACAAGACCAGCGACGCTGCTTACTCCTTCATGTACGCAGGTTTCAGCTCTCTCCTCATTCTGGCCACCGTCGTCTGTAACGTGCTGGTGTGTGTGGCTCTGATCCGGATGCATCGGCGCTACGTTCGCAGGATGTCCATGGGAACAGACCTGGCACGGAACGTGGATCCGCGGAGAAGAGGACTCAGCTTCAGGCGCACGGCTGGCACGGAGATTCAGATGGTCATTCTGCTCATAGGCACGTCGGTAGTGGTGCTCATTTGCTCAATACCACTTGTGGTGAGTTCTGTTAATTTCCCACGTTTACGCACACTTTACTGGTGCCATTTTAACAAAAAATGCGTGCGTTTATTTGTTGTACTCTCGTTTTATTTTGATAAAAATATTTGTTGTTGACAAAAAAGTTTTAAATTTAAAAGTTTATTTCATTTCTTTCCCCACACGAACCCCAAACCACCTCCTCCCTGCGCGTATTTACGCACCGCTCCTTTGGTTCGTGTCATTTTTCTAACTTGGAATAATTGGTTCATGTAGTTCATCCCAACACTAAAAGATAATTAGAAAGGAAAGTTCAAACAAATTTCTTTTTGGATTAAATTCTACAGTTCCTCTCTTTTGTTTGGCTGCTCTTCTTGGCCAATTTCTCTCTCTGCCTTTTCTCTCTCTCATCCCTTGAAACACACACACTGTTAAACGCTGCACACATGTTCACAATTACAAATTATTAATTTCTTTAACCCAGGCCCTAAGCTTATTTATTTTTCTCTTTCAGGTTCAGGTGTTTTTGAACCAGCTCTATAAGACTCCGGTGGAACTGCGGTTGGATAAAAACCCAGATCTGAGAGCTATCCGTTTTGCCTCCTTTAACCCCATTCTGGACCCTTGGATCTACATCCTGCTTCGAAAAGCAGTTTTTCTCAAGCTCATCGAAAAAATCAAGTGTCTGTTTTGCAAAATAGGAGCACGGGGCCAACAGAGACAGCGGAACTTCCACTGCATCAGCGTTTATCAGCTCTCTTCGATCATCTCCAACCAGGACTCTCTGCGAGATGTCAGCAGCACCTCCCAGACCTTTCTCTACCTGCCAGAGGGGAGTGAGGTGTTCACTGGCAGCTGTCAAAAAGAAGACATACTGGCCGGTTCATCAGTCAGAAACTCACAAGCTTCCTGTTCATCTGAGCAGTTTGAAGCTCCAGCCGGAGAAAGGATAGACGTGATCAGAGTCCTCTCAGCCTTGCCGTGCCCAAAAGATCCGATGGTACAGATGTCACTCAGCACAGAGACGGTGGAGGAGAAATGCATCTGATTAAAGTTTACACATCTACTGAGTCACTCCTACTTCAACTGACCTTCGAAACCCTGGCCATGGGAGGAATGGGAAAAGTTAGATGCAAAGTTCTCAGAATAGAATCCTTTTTATAGTGTTTACTAAGTGCTTTTATGAAGAGCAATTAATCTTAAATACAACATTTATCTAATCTCTTTTTGGCTTGTCAAAGATTACCAGATGTTGCATTTTAACTAGTTTCAGGAAAAATGTCTCACAAATCGCTCAGGCTAATTGGTTTTCACTTAACTCCTAATATGTCATTGTTGTGTTGAGAGACACGAGACAGGTTTTTTTCACAGTGTCATTCTTGAATGCACCCAAACATTTCAGTGTCATTCTGGCCCTTTGTGTCTCCTTGTGGGTTCAGTGTTCTTTGGGTGTTGTCTCCAAAAAACACTGTCTCCATTTACCGTTTGTCTCGACTGATAAAGATGACAAACCTTCAGCAGGTCTTTTTGGAGCTTGTCCTCAGCAAACTTCAGTCTGGTTGAAGGTATTTTTTGAGTTGTTCCACAAATGTACAGCCCATTCCTGTGCAGAACCTAATTGAGAGCATTTTTGGACAATTCCACTTCCAGACTGGGAACAGTCATTTACGATTGTCCTGGCAGTTCTTCTAGTTCCTTCTGACACATGTCTTGCTAATCTTATTTTCCAAATTCTAAGTCTCTTTTCTTTCTATTTATGCCAGTTTTCTTTTCTTTTCTTTTCTTTTTAGCAACATGTGGATCTCACTCCGGTTCTGGACAGTGTAAACGTTATAACACCATTGTTTCCTCTCATGCATTGTGAGCAACAATATTTCCTTTTGTTTTTGCTCTGATGTTTTTCAGAAGTGACAGTTTAACCTTCAGACTTAGTTCTTTTATGCTTTTTTTTCCCCCCTAAAAGGTCAACCGTGGTTCAGCTGTTTTATGAGCTTGAGTCATTAGTTAGTGACCTTTGACCCAGTGGTTTAGACTAATGATGGGATTGTAATATTATAGTTAAGCATGCTTCCATGATTAACTTAAACATTTGTTGCTCTGTATAAAAGCACTTTTTCCATTTAATGGGCTCATACATTTGGCCCCACCTGTCCCTATGTTATATGACTTTCAGTTCTTGACGAGGGGAGGGACTTGAATGGCAGTGGTCCTCCTTCGTTTGGTTTCTGCTTTTCAGCCAACTACCTCAGTGATGACAATCCGTCCATGTGTGAGGACATTTTTTATCATTTTGCCACAAAACAGAAATGACCAATTTTATCATGGCTCAAGGATCGGTGATGGAAAAGCTCTCCTGTCTTATTTCAGCCTCTTTGTTCTATCAGTGTGGAAACCTTCAGAGTGAAGTAGATGGGGCCAGTAATTTAGTGTAATTGAGTCACAAGCTTGTGGTAAATGAAAGCAGTCCCAAATGTGATCTTTATGAGTAATCGCTGGCACATGTGCTGCCATTGTGAGGGTCGATTTGGTTAATAAACTCCATTGTACAGTATGGTGCTTTTTTTGAAGGACGTGTTGTGTTAGTTTTATGACTAATATAATGTGCAGTATTATTATGTGGTGAACACCAGTGCTTTCATTGCTCCGTCCTGGATCGCACACAAAAATGTCATCTTAGTTTATGAAAACTTTTTTTTTCCAGAGGATAAAGAGATTCACAGTTATTAGCATCAAACTATTTAAATCTGACAGGGAATGTTGAGCTATGTTTCCACAGCTACGGTAAATATGGAATAAATCAGTGGACAGATGTTGGTCCAGGATGAAAATATGTCAACACAGATGTCGGCTTGAGAGAAACAATGTTCTGACGGATGGATGTTGTGTAAAATATTTGTTTGTAAATAAAATAATTCTTCTCTAAGAGAAGATTTTAGTTAATAAATCCAAACTCAAATGTTGCAACTCTCTTTTGTTGAAGTTACACGGTGGTAACACTGGACTCAGATTTTAAAGGTTTATATGCTGAATAAGAACTGGTCACATGAACTTCTCTGAAACCGGAGACAATGTTTAAAGAGTTTGTTTTGTACCAAAAATATTCTGCTCACAATGACATTCAAACAGAGAATGTGGAAATAACTCTGGTACCAGTAAATGTTAGGTATTTTGTTTGGAAACAGCAAACACTGGGCCATACTTCAAAATAATTATATTCAAATATTCAGGCCGTGTCAGTCAAGCTAAATCATAATTTCCTCAGGCATTTCTGTAATTCTGATGTCAACCAGTGTTTGCTGTTTTCCTTCTAATTGTGCAGTAATATTATCGGTCAGTTGACATTGTCTACTTCTGTCCCACAGCCGTATATTAACCTGAACTTTTCAACTTCTCCAACTTTAAGCTGCATTTGAGCGTTTCCACTTAAACAAGCTTTATGTCTTTATTTTCGCCATCTTTGAAGCGCACACACGGCCTCACTTTCTTCTTGGTTAAATCCACTCCAGATTGCTGCTCTATGTCATGGATTAAGATCTGCCTTGCGTGTACGTTGCGGTTTATTTTACACATTTCTCATTGGTACAAGTGCACAGAAACAGGACTCTCAGGGTATAACCGTCAAGTGGTATTTTGTTAAAGTTTCCAACATCAAAGCGTCTCATTATATACATTCTTAGGGATTATTTTTAAATTACGCACATTATTTATGTTGTAATTGAGAATGAAGTCTGTGGACCTACATATACATTAGTTGTGGATGTTTTTTATTTGCTGTTGTATCACTTTTCATATCTGCAGACATTACTCAACATCTGCCAAAACTCTGCAGACATGACAGAGAATTTCTGTGTTTTCAGGAGGACAAATGTGTAAAATTTAGACACCATATTTTAACTGTAATTTAATAGGAACCTAGTATTTGACATGTCATCATATGCTGTCATTGTGAAGTGCAGGTTTCTAAAATGAGCGCACAGTTTTTTTTTTCTCCCCCAAATCCCAGAGGGTGTAGGGTTGAGATCAGCCCTTGACCCCATTAGCACGGACAAATGGGTCTGACGAGAGCCGGATACGTCTTTTCCATAGTTTATGGGCAAATAAACAAAACCTTAAACACGCTGAAATCTTGTGCATCTTGGTAACGGATCAAAAGCTAATGCTAGACATACAGAGAAACAGAGAGGAAAAGAGTGCGTGTAAGTCTAATGAAAAAAAGGGAGATTTCAGGAAGTAGACCTGGCCGACAGAGCTCCTCTCCTGAAACAATAAACACAATCTGAGGCTCCAATTCACTGTAATTAGGCCTAAGCAAGCAATGCAGTGGCTTAGGCAAACACATTGCAGAGATGCCTAAAACAGACTGTCGGAGCTGCCTCCAGACTTTGGGAACAACACACATTAATTAAATTAAGCTATGAAAAATGGGACTGTGCAACAGAGAGACACGGCGACGCTACTCTGCAAGTTGTTCCTTTTTACTCTCACTAGGCTTGGCACTGAATGAAATGTATAAATGGACTTTTTTTATGAAGCTGATATTTGCCATCTGTGTTAACAGGTGTCAGGTAGCCTCACTAACCTCAGGAAGGTGTAAACGTCTGTCCTCATTTTGTACTTTTCCTCACTGTCAGCGAGGATGCTATTTCCCCGGATTTACTGGGGTTGGAGGTGGTGATGCTTGGATTAGATCCTAAGTGGATAAGTGATATACACCTTGGCATAAAAACAACCTGGCGAGGCTGCTTTACATCAGTCGATTCATTCTCTTAGTGATTCCGTCTTCGCTCTGTCACCCCTGTACCCGCTGATAAACAGCAGAAAAAGCAGCACCTGCTGCACCGCAGCCTCGGCTGTCACATTCAATTAAAGCAGACATAAAACAATCCCCGGCAAGAAATTATCCAGAGTCAAGGGAGAGCTGATGAATGAGCGATATAAGACCCTGCCTTTTCATTTCCTTACAAGTGATGGAAAATGGAGATAAAATGGAATTAAGACAGAAAACACAACCCAGGTGAAGAGAGTCCTTTATTCCATGTGGGACAAATTGTGCCAACATTTCCTCCAAATAGTGAGTCATGAATAGATCAACAACATAACTTGTGTTTTAAGCCTTCTCTTTAGTTTCAACATATGTAAATTGTCTCCCAGAAATGTGAATATGATTTGTAATGCAAAAACATATATAATAAGATAAAAAAAAAAAAAAACTAATATAAAGATTCAATGTTTTGTCTGTGTTTTCTGAGCATGGTTAAATATATTTTGTATTTTATTTTATTAATAAAGAATAATTAATAACTTTCATGTAACATTTCAGAAGTACAAATGATTTATCCTTTGACTTTAAAATTCTTACACAACCATACACTATTTAAAACAGGTTATACCAAAGCTCCCACAGCAGATTGCTGCACACCAGCGAGTTTCCAGCTAACTTTAACTTTGATCTCCATCTTTATATGATATTTGCACAAACAGTGACATGAAAGAAACCTAATCAGGCGCAGAGTAGGCTGACCATTTTTTATTATTATCATTTCTTTGTTGCATAAAAGTTAGTGAATGTTGGCTTTAAACATATGACATTGATACTAGAAAATAAAGGCATTTATTTTATTTATGTTGTATTTCTGAGTGTGTGATAACATCTGTTGTAAATGCTGAAACACGTATGTGTACGCCCCACCTCTCTAAACATGGTCATGTGTGTACATGGTTGTGTGGGTGTATTCACTTAAGTGACATTTTTCTATATTTTCCAAGTGTTTTCCACAGTGCACACTGGGTCATTTTAGTAGTTGGTTTATGACTCACTATCATCCATACGTTTCCAATCCATGGCACAGACATTCCGAGGAAAGCTGTGTAGCTGATGCATTAGTGTGATTGTCTTCCATTTAAAAGATAGATCACTGATTTCCTCTGCTGTTAGTCTAACAGCTCTGTCAATACAGTTAGAGGACTTTAATATAATTTTTTCTTTGGTTAGTATGCACATTTCTGCTTGACCAGTGGGTGGAGCTGCAACCCAATGGATTTTAACTGATGAGGAGCAGGTGCGTTACCTATGAAGCAGTTACGGTGTCACTTTGGTTGTGAAAAGAGCTGAAAATCAACAACAAAAAAAGAAGAAGAAGGTGGATTATGGACTGAAGACTTGAAGACTTGGGGAGTTAGGTGGCTCTCATTGTTATTTTACAATGTGAATACACGGTTTGTCCACATTTACAAAGCACGTGTAGTGATTTTATGTGAAATAATCA